CCCTTTTTAAAGGACCGTGAAGAATAATTATCTTCTAAAAGGAAAGCCAAAACTAGATACTCGTGACTGAAATCTTAAACCCCACTATGACAAAATGTGAAAGCCTGGCATCCTGGCTCCCATCTGTAATCTCAGCATTTAGTGGGCTGAGGCAGGATTTTTGCTATGGATTTGAGGCTAGCCTGGGTTTCAGTGTGAACTTCTGTCTCAAAAAAAAAAAAAAAAGAAAAAGAAAAAAAGGTAAATGTACACTTCAGTAGTATAGGTTGTATCATTTTTACCAACATTGAGTTCGATAAATATTCAGAAAAAGATAAGCAACATATAACAAAATAAGGCTTTGATAAAATTAATGTAAAATTACTGATATATTGACATATTACATCTACCTCACGTTTAGAGGAATCTATTTTTCCCTTTGTCTTTATCAAAACTAAGGGACATGCCTCAAATAGTTCAGCTTGAATCACTGTAACTGCAATATTTGGAAGATAAATGAGATGCAGATCTGTGTTTACATGATATCAAAACAAGGAATTGGAGCTGGGTAGCTAAAGTACAACTTGGTAATATAGTCGTTGTCTATAGTACTGTGGATTTCCAAACTTCCTCTGCAGCTAGATGTGCACTGTTTCATAGATAGTTATTACACTGCCATCATTGGAAACATGCTTCCAGGAACGGGGGAAATAGCTCTAGAGGATAAAGTGCTGGCTGTGAGAGAATGAGAACTGGAATGGGGATCCCCTGACCCGCGAAAAAGCCCCAGAATGGGGAAGGAGAAACACCTATGGACCTGCAGCTCACTGCCTAATCAACCTAGCCATAAGGGTGAGTTCTAGGATTAGCAGGAGACCCTGTCTCAAAAGCATAAGCTAAAGAGTGACTGAGGACATACCAGAAACAACCTCTGGCTTCCATGTGTACAAAGTTCTGCTTCTGCATGTATGTGCGTGTGTGTGTGAGCATGAACATACACACATATAGAGAGAATGAGAGAAGGAAAAGAGAAAAGCAAAATCCATTCACATACTGCTCAATGACCAACTAAACTGAGATCCATATATCTAATATCTTTGACACTTTTAGAAGTTAGGATCTGGCCAAACATTCCATGAAATATACGTAAGTTCTCTGCACCTCTATGTACTAAACAAAACAGCATTTAATAAGATCGGTTAAGGTTTTGTGATCATGAAACATACATTATATAATAGTTATTTTTAAAAAGGCGAGACCTTCCCATAATAATTAACATGAAACAAATGGAAGTTTCTTTTGTTGCACAGTGAGATAGAGGCTAACTGAGCTGAGAAGAAGGAAACACTGGCTAACAAGGTAAATACATGTAAGAGCAGAGAACACCAAGCTCTTGGCCAGTGGCATCAGGGAAAAGGTCATTGTACACTGGAAGATTCAGAAAGAACCAGGAGTGGGATGAATAATAATACAAATCTTTAAAAGTCATTATGAACAAGTGAAAAAGGTAGAAATAAAAAATAAAGAAGTAAAACACAGAGATGGTGGCCACAGAAGAGAAATTCAAGAAAACAAAGACCAGCATCTCAACGACCCAACTTTCAATTCTTCACTTCGTTTATAGATGGCACAGCACCTGGCCCGTGCACTAGAATGCTGTAGTTTTACTTTTTTGATGAAGATCCCCTACCACACAGGTTTTCAGATTTTTTTCCTATAAAATATGCTTTCCACAATGTTGAATTCTGTAGGCATGAGTCATCTGGTGAATTTACTCACCCATCTACTCTATATTTACAGAAACGGCTAGACATTGCTATCTTGCAAAACAACTAAACCAAATAAAGGTGAATTTTCATGATGACATTAAAATATAACATGGGAACATATCAAGAAATATATTACATAATTTGTGCTAAATAGAAAAACATACAAATGTCTAGTAAGTTAATTTTTCTTAAGAGACTAGGAGGAGGAAATAGGGAGAAGGGCATGCACTATGGTCTACTTGTTTTGAAATGAAAATTGAAATTTATGGCCTGGCAATGCTGAAGAATGCATGGGCAGCCCATATATGGCAGTTTTGTTGAACTTATTCATAATAGGTTTCATGGTCTAATTTGATGAGGACAGCTGACCAGGTCTCTTCCTCAAAAAGGCACCAGATCTCATTACAGATGGTTGTGAACCACTATGTGGTTGCTGGAAATTGAACTCAGGACCTTTGGAAGAACAGGGAGTGCTCTTAACTGCTGAGCCATCTCTAGTTTTCTGAAAAGAAGAAATGTTGTAGAATTTAAGGCCAAAGAAAGGAACTGATGCAGCATGGCGTGTACCCTGGCATTTTCTCACATTTCTCAGTGATAACAGTGTACACTCCATAAACCACCAGGTGAGCATACCTTAAATTTGTGCTTTCTATTTTTCAGATGAATGTTGATTATGGAGCTTTTCAATTAATTATAGTTTGGGGCAGGCTTAGAAACTGTTATGAGAAGGGTGATAACAAATGTAATAACTGTATATGCATCTAAAAGATGTACCACAAACATTTTTGTGGGAAGATGCAGACACCCAGGTGAGAAGGTGCAAGAAGATCATGCTGTGAATGGATGCCATTAGTGAAATCTCATATTAATTAAACTTCAATTAATAGATGATTTAATACTTATTAAATAATACATTTTAAAGTGAATATTTACTTGTAAAGATGCATTATTTTCCCAGACAGGGTTTCTCTGTAGCTTTGGAGCCTGTCCTGCAACTTGCTCTATAGACCAGGCTGGCCTTGAACTCACAGAGATCCCCCAGCCTCTGCCTTCTGCCCGGTTGTGAAGATGTATTTTTAACATGCTAAATGATACACAATATTCTTCCTGAATTGGTTGTGGAAGTAAGTTCTTGACATGGGTTTCAACTCATGTGCTTTAAAACAACACATAAACAAGTTTGAGTATTAAAACAAACCAGTTAATATGCTTTTATTCATTGTGCATTTTTGCTTCTAAAGCCTTCTATTTTCTGAGATCCAGGAAGCTCACAATTTTCCATTTTAATAAGATCTGTATAAATGCATTTAATATTCAAAATCTGACTTGTCAGTCCTAATTAAAGTAAACAAAGTCTTGCAACGAATGAATTTAATTACTTCAAAACTAGTATGTCTAACTAAGATGAAAAGCAAACGAATGCAGTCTAATCTTGGCAAAGAATATTTATGATTATAAGCTTTGTCAATAGCAAAGTGCACCAACTGTTCATCTATCTGACTTCCAGGAGACACATGAATGCTAATCAGTTCATTAGAGGCTTCTAGGTTGCGATATTTAGCGACAGGATATAGTAGCTCTCCTGTCCATGGAGTGTAATTTTACTCATAATGAAAAACTGTTTCCAGAAAAGACTCATCCTTCCTGGTTCTGATTTCCTGCTGGCTGTGTCTTATGAGCTGCACACCTTTCAGGAAATCAACCTCATTCAGTACTTATGCCATATGAACACTGGTGGGGGTAAGTCCTGAGACTGTCTGCTGAGCAGGATTTTACTCCAAGCTTAAAAATGCATGCTAGTTTGAGAAACCAAGCTTCCTAATTAGCCACTCACAGTGCATGACCAAAAGCTACAGGGGAACAAAATCTTTTCTAAGATGCTCTTTTATATCTATGGGGAACAAAAGTGAACAAGTTCAGTTAACAATACTTACGGATTAAAACGAAATAGTCATATGTACATTTGTTAACCATATAATGAATGAGAAATCCAAGAATAATTATAAAAATATAACGACAATATACTTACTTTAAAAAGTATAGACTGTCAGTTGAAAGGGTGGTGCATATCTAAACATCTGAATAATACATAATCTCCAGTATGAAAACAAAAAGAAATCCTTACCAAGTCTAGTAATAGAGATGACCTCCTCAAGAAAAAGCTGGGTAGGACGTAAGATTTGAGAGGAAACAAACACATAATCCTGAACTGATTGCTACTGAGTGCATTTTTATGATATTTCCTGTCAGAGATAGAAAAGGAAGATAAAATTGAACTAATTCACAATTAAGCTGAAAGCACATATAATAAAGTCTATGACAAACCAAATAATAATTTTCTGATTCACTAAATCTCAAGGGGGTTGTAGAAAGAGGAAGTTATTTTATTTCAAGTACATCAGTTTAAAAAATTACGGAAGTCTATTTATAAGTCCTCCTTTTAGAGCTGGGTGTCCTTTCATATACAACTCAGATATCCATATGGGATTTTAATAATGCATTATCACAATATTTCATTAGAATGGAAAAGATAACCATTACTGATTTCATACTGTGGTCTGCAAAGCAACTTAGCATTAGCTTCAGGAAATAAAAAAGTTCATTACTGCAGTTAGTAATTAGAAACTAAACTACAAAGTTACTGATAACAAAGATAAGTGAATACAAAGCAAACTGCAAATCAAATGAGACACAAGCATTACACTATTAATTTATGTACAATGTTTTCAATTTCATTTGGAGTTAGAAGAAAGCACACATAAGCAGCAATTGTATCCAGCTCCTTTCTTTATTTTGGAAGGGCAGAGCATTTCTAAAGGAAATATCACATTCTGTGGAGTCAGAGTTAATTTCTAATGCATATCAGTCCTTGAGCTTGTTAGTCATGCAGGGATTTTATAGAGTGTATCCCTGCTTCCTGAGATAGTTCAAAAGTAGTTAAATCATATTTCACGACATTAGATTCAAACTTTCACGAACTGTTTTAATGTGCTTTATCAGATGGAATAAGACAAACAGAAGGAACAAGATGGAAAAACATTCTATTATTTAAGAAGACAGAAAACAAAAAGTAGAAATCCTTGATGCATTATTCATGAAAAATACACCTTGGCTAATTTACCTGAAAGATAAAGTTAAACCTTTAATAATTTGGCACTATGTAACGTCCTTCAGTTATACAAACATACTTAGAACATTAAAAAAATTGTAAATCCAGTTGACTACAGACTGATTTAGATATCAAAGGATATGGACATCTTTATCACAAACTTGTCATGCAAGTCCTCAGGAGGGGGAAAGGTTTCCAAATCCTTCTCAAGCTGTTGAAGCTGCCTTCCCATCTGCTTCAAACTCTTTTCCAGCATTTCTACAGAGACTAAAAGAGAGCATATTAAATGCCTTGAAAGGACAAAATTACAATATATAAAAGGTAAAACAATCTAGCAACAAAACATTTGTAAAAAAAAAAACCTCATAGTAAGAAAATTCAAAAACATTAAATTCCATTAAATTTAATTTTTAACCTTTAGAATTTTAAATCCAGAAATAAATTAAACCAAATAAGCTTCTACATAAGTCAATGCCACTTAAGAAATAATTGTTTAAAAGTAGACATCTTTACGACTACAAAAAAATTATAATCTAGTCAGATAAGGGGAAAAGGAAGTCCGTCCTTTGAAATGCTGAACTCAAATACCATTGTTACATTTCCAAGATAGCTCGAGAGAATTAGTGAATAGTTGGAAAGGATGTAAGAAAACTTTCTCTAATGGTCAAACTAATCTCTCGTCGGAAAGAAAATGTAGGAGAGGACATTTAAAATGACAAAGACACTCTTTACCAGGACCTAAGCACTACCTATGTTTAACACTGACAGGCTCCATCTTTGAATTAAACCTCCTCTCAGAACACACATAAACAACCCATAGTAACCAAATGTACTAAGACACAGGCAAAATGAACTGACCTTGCAGTAAACAGTAAGCTTTAAAAATTAAATGTTTGTGTCATTTTGAACCTTTGTTTAATAGGGGGTCCAAAGTGTCAGTAAGTATAAATGCTTCTGAACTACCTGTAAATTTTCTGGATATAGTATAGAGAAAATGGTTCCCTATACAGGAAATCAACAACAGTGGGTCTGAGGACACTAGGGGAAAAAGCCATACAAGACAAGTGCTGAAGGAGAACATGGCTGAACTACTAGTGGTGGGGCTGCTAGTGCTTAGGGTGCTGGTTTTTTTTTATTTTTTTTTTTTTTTTTTGTACCAGATATAGACTATACCACTACCAACTATGTCTCTTAATTTTTCACAGCTGGACTTCCCACAATTCAATGTTAGGCTAATATTAATTACAGAAAGTTAGTGGTATATTCAGAATATAGATTCAATCCCATAAGACAATCATTATTTCCGATGCCAAATGCAAGTACAGGCAGTCATCCACACTCCTGAACTGGCTGGAAATTTTAGAACGTTTCCTGGCCCCTTCCCTAAAGGTTCAGAATTCACTATGGTGGCTCATGAACTTGGGAAAGCACAATCCTTATAGTAGTAGTGCCATTAAAATGGCCATGACACAGGGACAGCCTAAGTCAGGAGAAGCCCACTAAAGAGCATAGGAGAACAGGCAGAGATACCTGTCCTTTGGGCCTAGAATCTCCCTTGCCTCTTTCTTTCAATTTTTTATCAGAGTGTCATTACACGGCAATGGTAACTAAATCACTGGCCATTAATAACTAACCCAAGCTCCACAGCCTCTTCTTTCTTCCAAGTATTCATCCTCCACTCACATATTTAATACATCAGAACACGAGTCCCAACCAGTACAGTACAGTATATTGGGGATTGATTTTCTGTGATGTGGAGCAACTTCTCTTATGTTCTATTTCAACATCAGTAAAAACAGAATATCTCACCTCAAATTTTAACTCACTGACATTTCATAGAGATCAATTCTTTTAAAATAGGTTGAAGCCCTTTAGGTATTATATATTCCTTATTTGTAGAAGCGAATAAGAAATTATAAAACTTAAAGTTTGAAATAAGTGATACCAACATTTATAAAACATTAAGAAATTCATGGTGTTCACCACGATCATTATATTACAGGACAGCAGGACATTGAGACATCAGTCTAAAGAAAGTCACCGTGTTCCAGGGCACAATGTCAGAGATGCTTATGGGCACATTTAAGTCCAACAGCAAGAATAAGTAAGCTATCTTTTTAAATGGTGCTCGTGTGGCTACTCTACAAAGAGCAATCCCACTAAGCCTTTTCTTCTGCTTCATCTGCACTCTCTGATTACATTACTTGTATGCTGTGGTTAAGTGAATTTAAATGTAATTGACCAACCTTTCAACGCTAGCTTTTAAGTAAAGACCAAAGCACATTTGGAAAAGAAAAAGGAGTGTGTAAATTCCAGGCTGATAACATCCAATCTAATGGTTGGAGCCATCCGACGGGTAACACTAAAGAATAATGTAAGAATCCCGACTCTCTGACATTTAAAAAAATAAAAAATAAAAAAACCAGTTCCTACATTTCTATAAATAGATGCTTTGTTCTTTAAACAAAATTTTACTCATGTCAGTGATTGCTTTTTATGCGTAATTTTAAATAGTTAGGGAAGTTTTCAACTATACACTCTCAAGGATGCATGAATTTACAGGTATGTTAAAGAGTAAGGATCTTAGGGGTATTGGGTCATATAGTTCTTCTTAGAAAAGGGAAATAGAACAGATAGTCATGGGTGGACAGGGTGGCTACAGAGCAAGGATCAAGTAGAGTGCAGGGAAGTTAAAGAGGAATGAGAGGGAGATAAGAGGGGGGTGAAGGAGGGAAAATGGGGAGAGACAGTGAAATTTAATGGTCAATTACAGGGTAGTATGAAAACCTAGTTCAGTAGAAAACGTTGAAATATAAACATAGATGAAGGAAATCTAAATGAAATCTCCATATAATGGGGGAGAGAGTTCCAACTAGCCATACTCTATAATCAAATGAAGCTTTCAGTACCTGGATAGTTTTATATCTAATTGAATTATTGGCCAAAGGGGTCCCATTGGAACCCCCCAAAAGCCACGACTACTGGTTGTTCACCACAAATGGGTAGTAATACCCCACTGCTGAAAACATACAATTCACTGAGCATGGAAATGTTAAGTCGGTGCCTATACAGTATTCTTACCTCTGTATGAGAAGTGAGCACACTACGAAAGGAGAAACAGAAGCGCCAACCCAGCCACAGACCCTTTCATCTACAATAGTATCCTGTCTGTAAGATATGATAGCACGAAGGTGGCACAAGGTAACCAATGACTGATGTGACTTAAGATCCACAACGTGGAACCCATACCCGACACTGCTTGTGTGACCAAGAACCTGAGACTAGACGGCCCGGAGACACATGATAAAACCAAATACTGCTCTTCTTATTAAAAAAAAAAAAGGAAGAAAAGTAGAATAAAACAAGTCTTAATGACATTCTGTTATACTCCTGAGCTAGCCAAGGGATGCACACATGTCATCTCCTTTCTGTGCTTTATGTTCTGCACTCACACCTAAAATGGAAATTTCAGTACAAGGACCTTTGTGCTCACAGCTCTCCAGGACCCCATATGGGACTGTGACAAAAGCTTTGATCAATGGTGGCACACTCATTCTAGTTTTCCTTGTCAGAGGCTCACCGGAAAGCCTTGTCCTTACCAAGGCAAGTATCTAGTACAGTGTCTACTGGGAAGTGAGAGTTCATTCTTTACAGGCTCAAAACATCAACAAGGATTGCTAGGTACTAATTCATTTATTCATTAAGTGTATAGAAAGAACTGTGAATGCTATTTGCTGAGATTACACCGATATTTATAGACACACTTATAGAAGAAATATGTCTCACTAGTGACTGATCAATTTAAATGTACAATAAAGATAAAGCCTTCTGAGTAAAGAGAGGAGGGTTGCATATATTACTTTTTTACGTGTGTCAGGTTAGTCATGCATTCGGTAATATCACATATGAATGTGAGTCAATATCATTTCTCATGTTTCTATTGGATGTGCTGATATCATATAGTAACTCACATTTTATGGCACACCTTAATAACTCTAGGTTGACAAATTAGTTTTGCATGTAATCTATAGTAGCAGTTTAATAAAAATAACTAACACTTTAGAAAAATTAATTCTACATGGTTGAAGAGTTGCTGGGACTCAGTGTTTTCTTTAAAAAGTATTTAGTGGTATAACTGCTTTTTCAAAAATTAATTTGGGGTCAAACTTCAAAATGTAAATTTGAAGAAAATTTTTTCAGGTTAAAGCAGGAGTAAATCTGTGACCTATTTTCCAAGTTCCATATGGGAATGCTTGGCTATCCAACTGCTTATGCATTTACCTGTACACTTAGGACTAGTGTAACTGCTGCATGGAGACTTTTCAACTGTATGAAAGTTCATGCACAAACATACACACAGACACATACAAACACACCCACACACAAATACACACCCTCATACTCACACAGACACAAATATACAGGTCTAGCTGGGCAGTGGTGGCGCACGCCTTTAATCCCAGCACTTGGGAGGCAGAGGCAGGCGGATCTCTGTGAGTTCTAGACCAGCCTGGTCTACAAGAGCTAGTTCCAGGACAGGCTCCAAAACCACAGAGAAACCCTGTCTCGAAAAAACCAAAAAACAAACAAACAAACAAACAAAAAAAACAAATATACAGGTCTAAAAAAAATCTTTGGTTATACATATTCAAGCAGCCCAGTGGAAAATTCTTAAAACAGAGATGACCATACAAATTAAAACTCTAAGCTATCCACACAGACTTTTACTTGCCTATTAATGTTTGCAAAGCTAGGTGTGTATCAGACAATTTTGTTGAATGATAAAAGCATCAATTGTGATGAACACAGAACATTTAAATAGTTTACTAGGTTCTGTAGCAGATTTATAAGCATTTATACACTGTTGTCTACATTGTATAAGTAAGCATTTTGGGACTCAAAAGCAAGGCGCTAATTAGTTTAGTCTTGAAGAGAAAACAAAATGACCTCAAAGGCTCATGTGTGGAATCTCTGGGCCCTGGCTGGGGGTGTTATTGAGAGGTATGTGGATCATAAGAGTATTAATCTCGTCAACAGATTAACACACTGGTGAATTCATAGATCAGTTGATTATTAAGAAATAGGGCCCAAATTATAGACTCACTGACCTTTATTTATCTCTAGAAACCAATTATGAGTGAGTACATCCCATGTTCATCTTTTTGGGTCTGGGTTACCTCACTCAGGATAGTGTGTTCTATTTCCATCCATTTGCATGCAAAATTCGAGAAGTCATTGTTTTTTACCGCTGAGTAGTATTCTAATGT